GAATCGAAGAAGAGAAAGAAAAAGGTAAACTAGAAGGCAAATCATAAGATACTAAGGAAAAATAAGTAAGGTTGAGGAAAGGAAAGGCAGAGGGAGCAATAGGAAACAAGAAAAAGGTGTTAAAGCCTTAATAAGGAGAAAGATAGATGAAATGATTAGCAAGAAGGGGAGCAAAAGCAAAGGAAAGGCAAAGGTAAAAAGGCAAAAGAAAGTAATAAAGGAAAAGCTGAAAAGAAAACAGAAGAGCGGAAAAGCCAGATCTTGGAGAGAGAAAGAGGAAGAGAAGATTAATCAGAAGAAAAATGAGAAGAAAAGAGGAACAGGCAGGCGCAGAAGACAGGGACACAAGAGTTGCAGACACACCTACAAAGGCACATATTTACACAACACATACACACACACACGCACGCGCGCACTCACACACACACACACACACAAAACACATACATAATCAACTACACAAACTGGATACGAGACACAAATAGTAATATAAGAAATGTAAACCAAATGTAACATATAAGTTGTAAATAAATAAACTAACTAAATATCGACTTGAGAGTTCTAACACATGAAATTCAGGATCAGCGCATCAAAGTTGACTAAAAAATACTTTAGTTTATTCGAAAAACTTTATAATTGTCGATTTTCTATTGTAAACAATAAATTTTCCCACGGTCGTGACGTTACGCTCCTTATATGGTAATGTTTTCGCAGAGTTACCCTAACACATTTGCATATACGTGAGAAAAGCGCCTTCGCTCCATTACCGTTTTTCTTTGATTGTCTTGTGTATGACGGATTGCTAATTTGCAGAGGGAAATGAGAGACAAATCAGACTGGACCGTTACATTACACAGCCACGACTGTCTCTTTTCGGTCAACGCGTAAACGCTTTACCATAGGTACGTGACTAAACTAGAGCAGGCTGGCAATCTAACTAAAGCACCGATCAGAAATGTAACAGTTAAATAATATTACCTGTAAGTTGACTCGTCCTGAACCTCTTACGGTAGAAGCCAGGGATTTATTGTAGCTATATGGAGTAGGTGTAAGACCTTTTTAATTTATAATAAATGATTAGTAGAAATTTAGTTTTCGTATTTATTACTCAAAATCAGTGATACAGAACTTCCAGTGTCTTTCAGAGTAGAATACAGAGTTTCCGTGACTATCGCTTTTCCACCTCTTTTATAAGACAAAACACATAAAAAGTAGGCTACAAAGGGTTAAACTCAGAAGGGGAAAGCATGTCACCGAAAACAAGGACAGATATTAATTAACCATTACTCTAATTAAGGGAATTCCTCTTTTATAAAAATTCAAATTTTGCCGTTATTATATGGCCTGACTTGTTCTCGACATTACATTATAACGAACGGCTTGCATATTATTGCATATTATAACGGTAATAAATATATTGGTATATCCAATGAGGTTATGAATGTCACGTCGATACGAAAGAAAAAGTACGTGACAAATTATAAGTTATGGTAACAAACCGGGTATCGATAATTTAGTTTTCTATTGTACCAACCCTCCCGGGAAGATTTGTAAATCTATCTAGCGGGATAGATTAGTCTAAGCACGTCTCCATAATATTTCCGCGAATATTACTCACCGCATATTAAATTAGCGAAAACACAGGAAGGGGCATCTCAGCCTACGGTATAAAAAGGCTGGATTGGAATTCGCACAAGTAGTATATAGTATACAGTACGCAGGACACAGTTGACGATTCAGCAGTTTGGTAGTTTTGCAAAGTTATTTTTTAAGTCTAACTATCCGGCTACTTAGAACCGGGATTATACTCTGTTAAGTACTATAATTAACTTTAAACAATAAATCTTAAATCAAGCGCAAATACCTGAGACTGTTCGTAAAAAACCTCTTCTGAAATCCAATCCTAATAAGGTAAGAAACTATTTTATCTGCTTAAAACGCCCTACGTATAATAAAGGCGCTATCCCTTTAACCAACCTCTGCTTAACTCCTAACTAAGATCCAACCTTTACCAACGCGACATTACTTGAATATATTATTACGTCTGGCTGTAACATCTCCTCGCCTAGACATACCATGAAAAACGAAAGGTATAGTTCTAGAATCTTGATAGTCCAGTTTGCAGCTTTGGTGTGCTACATCTCGATATTTTTTTATCAAATGATAGTGATTGTGAACTTTCGTGTAATCATTTATATGTTTTTCACAAATATGACATATATTTTCTATAATAGAAACCTGTTCTTTCTTCTGAAATAAGTTCATTCATTGGCTATGGATTATTATATATACTTGTAACAATAAAAGTTATATTTTTCATCTGTTTAACAAACCATTTCGATGGATCTGGTCCTCGATAAAATTTATATCTCTATATAAGCTTTCATCATAACATTTCAAATAGTATAGCTAATACTTAAAATTCGATGTCTCTAAAATGTAACAATATTTTTATTTGTGCCTAGCTCCTCAAAATATATTTTTTTAATAAGTAATCACAATCAGTGTAAATGATAAAAGGTGATTTCTATTTGAATCCACGATTCTTAAATTTAATTATATCCCGTTTACCTTCCTGCTAGAACAAGGACATTCAACCGATTTGAAAATCCAATCCGCTTTGAGTCTATTTCTGAATCCTACAGATGACAATTGAAATTCATTAAAGTACAATTAATCTTAATTCACTTTAATGTTTTTTTATCCCTAAATTAATTTTACATATTCTAATAATTAATTTCAGGATAGAAAAATATTAAAGGGGATTCAGATCGATTCCAGTTTGATAAATTTAAATTGTCATTTGTAGGATTCAGAAATAGACTCGAAGCGGATTGGATTTTCAATCCGGTTGAACGTCCACTGGACGTTACTTAATTCGCGACGCGGGAAATTTAAAATTGGAAATAAGCTACGTCGTTTGAGCACCACTGTACCCGACCGAGGTTAGATCACAGTTTTTACCTATGAAGATGCAAGGTTTATGCTTCAAGTACAAATGGCTATTCACGAGTTTTGGTTGGCAAGAATTAAGACAAATTTGGCGCATAGATTAAAAGAGAAGCAGCAGACAGTGCAGGGCAGCAAAGGACTAAAGAAGAATTCAACAGTCAGATAAGTATCATTAATTCACATTATCACAAAGTTTCCAAATAAGATAAATTTATGGAATTTTTTTCTAGAATTTCTGGAGCTAAGTAGTAGAGCTTTCACTCACTTACAAATGATTTTTGATAATCAATTAATTCATAGGCATTTAAGATTTAAGAGAAAAGACTGTCCATGTGCAGTACTCCTGGTGACACACTGAAAAATCTTCTAGCAATGTGTTTCATAGAGAAGTATATTATATTTTTTCATACACTGTAGAGAGCATCGAGTCAAGCATAATTATTATGCAGTAATAAAAAAGTTAGTAATAAAAAAGATGGATCATTTTAATACGTTATTTATCTTTTAGCTACCTTTTATACAAACTAATAGAATTCATTTTGAATGCATGGACAAGAATTCTACAACATCAAAGATAGATCACTCTAAATGTAACAAGATTTCATTGTCCATGTAATCAAAATGTATTCTATTATTTCATATAAAAGGTAGCTAAGAAATAAATAACGTAATGTAAATGATACATTTTTTATCACTAACTTGTCACTCATACTTTCACTAACCACACAATATAGTCGTACATTTTTAAAACAAATACACTGCATAATAATTATGCTTGACACGAATCCCTCTACAGTCTATGAACAAATTCAATTATTTCTTCTGAAGCACTGCTGTTGTTTAGAAAGTCTTGAAGCACAGCATTCTCCAATGATTCACTGTCTTCTTCATTATCTTCTGCATTATTTGCTTCTCTCTCTGCTACTACCACTGACAGTTTCTTGATATATGGCTAGGTTTTCTTGAATGACTCTGATTAGTCTTAATCAGAGAATCGATCTGTTGCCAGGAATTGCTGGTACCAAGTGCTCTATATTTTCTAAATACTCTCTCCGTTCGAGACCTGCAAAGTTACACAGTTATTTGGAAACTTTGTAATAATGTAAATTAATGATACTTATCTGACTGTTGAATTCTTCTTTGGTCTTTTGCTGCCCTGCACTGTCTGCTGCTTCTCTTTTAATCTATGCGCCAAATTTGTCTTAATTCTTGCCAACCAAAACTCGTGAATAGCCATTTATACTTGAAGCATAAACCTTGCATCTTCATAGGTAAAAACTGTGATCTAACCTCGGTCGGGTACAGTGGTGCTCAAACGACGTAGCTTATTTCCAATTTTAAATTTCCCGCGTCGCGAATTAAGTAACGTCCAGTGTCCTTGTTTTAGCAGGGTTAATACTGAATTATTTTTAAACTGAATGTATTTTAAATTGGCATCATTTTTTACTATACGTTTGTTCGGATACTCTTAATCCAGAAAACGTTATGATGAAAATCGTGATACCTTTGACTATTCCTAAGACCACGAGGTCACCACATCTTTCTGCAGCTGCGCACGCGTCATAAAAGAATCGCACGAACGATAGCCTCTGTATTTAAAAAAAAATATTTTGTAATGAACTATTGAAATAATTTTAATTGTGTGTGTAATTAAATTGTGCAAATGAAATCGGTTCAAAAGCGAGTTTTTCGAACTTCAGGAAGTTAAAAAATTTTATAATAAAAGAGATATCGAATTTTGAAGTCGCACGTATTAAACTGATTGTTATTAATCTATTATGAAGAAATTATAGATGGGCAAAAAATTTAAGTAAATAGTCAAATTTGGCAATTAAAGATATATCGGTTTGTATATTTTTATTTCATTTCATATTAATTATACAAGTCGGTCAGGGCAAAGTATATATTTGTTTACGATAAATAATTACTCTTATATTTTTATACAAACATATACTATTGACAATAGATTTGTAGGAAATCGAACAAATGAATAGTATATAGAATTTTCTGAATTTATTGATTACCGGAAAGTTACGAATTTTGATACTATCTGCTCACACTTTTTTCTATGAAGATTCGTAGTTGGAAAGTTTTTTTTGACGGATACAAGTTTTGAAGTTCAAGTTGAAATTAAATTGTATCGTTTAGCAAGAAATTTATTAATTTCGTATTCACTTGAAGAGAAATAATTAAAACAAAAATATGTTATCACGTTTTGGTCTTCGCTATGGTAATAATAATATTAACCACACACAATTTTTTATATTACGTAACAGTTGCGTTTTTAATAAGAGCCATTCAAAATTACTTGAACTGAACTATTTTAAATTGTATTCAGTTTCAAAAGTTATAAAATATGTGTGAAATAATGAATATTTTTAAGTACACATAATTATTCAGTTTGTAATGTTGAAAATCAATATTCGTTCTTCTGACTAATGAATTTTTTGTACACATGTACTTCAGCTCATTATAAGTCAGTGAAGAAAGTTAAACTATATTTTATGAATCGATGTATTTTAATATTTTATCATTTTTCTTAATCTGTTACTTTAAGATATAATTAATATTCAATGCATGTCAACTTAAATACAAATATGGTAAAACTTTCTAGAATGAATAAATATTTTGTGAGGAGGCATATTTTATGAGGTCTTACTGAGGTGGTTAATTTTATGTAGCAAAGAAAGCCATTCAATTTTATAAATAAATGGAACTGGTAGTTGTACCTGGTAATTAAGATTTCTGATTTGTTAATATATTTATCTATGGTTGAACTTTTTGTATTATATATCTCAATATCAATAGATTTTATTAATTGTTTATATGTGATAATTTTGAAGGTTTGTATTGTTTGAAAAATTTTTTGAGGAAATCAATTTTAATGATTGCTCTGAAATTACTTCAGAGTATTTTATATGAAATATCGATTCTCTTCATTGTTTATAATGTTCATCCAAAGCAAGACTTTACGACAATGATAGTTAATAAATTTATATTATTATATATAAAACACTTAAATTTATTCTATTAACCTATTAATTAGCACTAATTTGCTGAACATGGCATCTGCTCTTTTTGTAATTATATACATGATATATATGTGATTGATTCTTATGTATTTCACTGGGCTCAGAGATATTAGATCACATGTTTTTTTTTCAGATTTTGCACAATTATTGTACACATTGGATAACTTTTTTTCCAAACTTTCATCTTAAAATATTAATTATATCAAAATAAGATAAACAGAAATATGATATGTATGTCAAAAGTTATTAATTATAAAGTAAAAATGATAAATAAATTTTCGAAAAACTATATTTCAAAAATTAATAAAGTATTGTAGTTAAACTTTTTTAAAAATATTAACATCATAAATTTTCTAAATATTTAAAACAATAAATAGTAATTTTTTTTAAATGCTACAAGGTTGACTTTATACAATAGCAAACAATTCAAAACCAGAATTTTTTAAATTCTTGCTTCAAAGGATTCATGAGAGTTTTCTTTATAGAAATCAGTCATAAAATTTAAGTTCCTAACATATTGAAATTATATTTATTGAAGTATTTTCTATAAGAGTGGTATTTAATTTTATGAAAACAGAATATTTTTATACTAACAATATGAAAAATAATTAATATATTTTTACTTTGCCTTTATCCAGACTTGAGACTTATGGCAATTAATATCTTTTTATCTATTCATATTTATTGGCATAAAATTATTTACAGATCCTCCTTACTTTGTAATCAGAAGATTGGAAAGTCTTTTATGCTTGTGTTTTGTATTTTTATTACTTACGAAAATAAAGGTGTGAAACACTTGTGTATTTGATAGACTTTCAGTTTTTTCAACAGATAAATGAATAAATAAATAAATAAATAGTAATTTGATTATTATAATAATAAATTGCCTGGATGGTATTTTGAAATTTCATAATATAATTTTCTGAAATGTTTCATGACTTCATTACCATTCAGACTTGCTTGATGTCTTTTTAGAAATTCATTCTAGTTGGTTGCAATATATTTATGTATTTCAAATAAACTCATAGAAAGTACTTTCCAGCTGATAAACAAATTCATCTCTTGGTAATATATTACCGATAAACTTAAATCTTGTTTCTTTCTGTCCCTCAACTACGTTGTCCCATTTTTTGAAAATAATATTTTGAAAATAACTAATACAATTGACAAAATTATTGAAATCAAAAAGAGATACATGTTTTTAATGCGTTTGCTAATTAATAACCATCGGTCTTAAGTCCAATAAAGAAATCAAACAGAATTTAATGCAGTTGATGTATATCGGACTCTGTACTTGCAACTGTTTAAAATTTGATAAATAAATTTAAACGTGATCGTACATTAACAAAAGATGAACATCCTTTATAACGTTCTATAGAAGTGAGTACATTCCAAATAATAGACAAAATCCACGACATGGTGTTGTCATCTATTTTATTGATGATATTATTTTTATTGATAAATTTTGCACAACACGGTAGCAATGGTCGAGAGTTAAGAGCGCGCGCGGGTACTTATAGGAATCTAGGCGTCAAGGTCATTAGTTATGTACTGATGATTTTATTGTGAAATGACAGAGCTTTGGAGAGATGTCTCTACAGCACGAGATTGTGTATAAGACTGCCTATAGGCCAATCAATGAAGCCAAAAATGAGGTAATTTGTGACATTAATACTATCAGCAAACCGACTATGCAAAGTTGTTTAATACTATGCGTAGATGAAAACGTATATGTTTCCAACTCGCAACTTTCATTTAATAACTTTTTACAGCCGTTTGAAATTTGCAAAAACATGTTTTTCGCGTAAAAAACCAAAACTATTGAAGTTAGGTATGTACCTCAATGGAATAAGTTATAGATAATAGAATTATCTATAAAATGAGCTATCGCTCATCTCAATCGAGTAATTAATAATTAATATAATTACAAAAAACATCAAAATTGATCAAACAAGGTAACATTTCAAAAATTCATATCTCCACATAGAGTGATGTTGAAAGAATTAGCTTATGATATTTTGTAGATTGCATTGTCTTTTTCATGTATGCTAAATCTGAGCTATATATAATTATTACTTTCGGCACTACAGTAATGACAATTAAACCTTTTTTTTTTTTTTTTAGTATATCTTGCATAATGCCCTGTGACTCAGCCGTTAGAGTTATACATTATACATTTTTTTGAATTTTTGTAAAAGATCTTGGGAAGTTTTTTAATTTTTCAAACAATCCGATAAATCCAAAAAGCAAAAAATCGCTCAAAGGAATTCGAAAAAATTCACAGTTGTGTTTTGATGAATTTCAAGCAATTTTGTTCCTTAAATTTTTTTTCCAAAGTCATTTCCTTCTGAGTAAAAAAATCGCAGTTTTTTATTTTTGAAAATTTTCAAAAAATTATAACTTTTTTATTTTTCATTTTAGCGAAAATGGTCTCTGTTACTTTTTTGTATTTTCATAAAAAAATATGAAATATTAATTTTTTTAACATTTATTACTAAAAATTTGAAAAATAAAATTTTTTGTTTACGAGTTTGTCTTTTGTAGCCGCCATATTGGAGCCGCCATGTTGGATTTTGCAAAGGCGCACACAGCATCAGAAAGTAGATATCCTAAGCTTTAAAATGAGTCGTTGCACGATTTTTTTGGTCACATCAAATTATTGACACAGCAGTGATCCGGTTGACATAGATCGTCCCATATAGTAACAGAAAAGCCAGGCGCTCGGCGTTTGACTTCAATATTACTTATTTTGATATTATTTACGCTATTTTACTGAAATTTTTTTTATTTTTTAAGTTAATTAAGTACGCATTCGATATTTGTTAAATAAATAATACGAAACATATAAATATATCTATATTTTATTATAATGTAGGCAAATAGTAATTTATATTTATTTATAATACATTTATCCCCATAAAAAATGTAGTTATTTCATTAACATTTAAACAAAATACATGTTCATTTTTGGTAATTATATATTTGTATTTATCACATTATAAGTGTCCCTAAAACGTAACTCAAACTGTTAACTAAATTTCAGTAAAATAGCGTAATTATATATACATCAAAATAAGTAATATTAAAGTCAAACGCCGAGCGCCTGGCTTTTCTATTACTATATATACTTCCCCTCCGCGGGATCTGTATCTCCCACCACTCGCTTTCTTTAACGCTCGGGCACATTTTGCCCGATATTCAACGACAAATTTCACCCTTTTAAACTGATTTTAGAGCAAAAGTTCAAATGACAAAGTTGTAGTTTGATTATTGAAATTTAAAAAACTTTTTTCAAATAATGTATAACTCTAACGGTTGAGCCACAGGGCATTATGCAAGATGTACTAAAAAAAAAGGTTTAATTGTCATTACTGTGTTTAAACTGTAGTTTAAATGTTACGATTATTAATATTATTAACAATGAATTATACTCCGGACGGGCAAGCTGAAGGCGCCGAAGAGATAATACGTGACAATAAATAAGTTCGGAATTAGGGATGGATGATTGCGTGTTATAAATGATAAGTCCTAATTATACAATATAACTTTAATGAAATTATTAAAGTGAGGAATACTCATCCGGCATAAAAACCCCAGTCGTGAGTGGGGAAAAGCCATCGAGATCCTATAAAATACTTACAGAGTTTTTTACTATTATAATTAAAAACTACGCCACTAATACAAAATTGAGAGAGAGAGAAATTGGATACGCTTACAATAGATTACCTGAGGCTCGCGGAGCCTGTACAGTTTGCACGGTGAATGGCCATTCAGAGTAAAAATGTGTGTTCGCTTACAGTCGACGCCAACATAGGTAGATGGAGGGAAGGTGCTACCACACACACACACACATCAGCGCACCGCAGCCCCAACGTCTTGGGCACACAAAAACTGCGATGTCGCTTAGTTTGCCGACTGATGGGCAGGAAGGAACTGGTAGCACCCCGGAGACTTGAGGGTGTCTTCCACTGACGCAGTCAGTCCCCTTGAAGTGCGTCACTGGGATCACGAGACACTAGCGAGTCAGTCGCACCCTAACACACTCACACCTGAGCGCGCACTCTTCCTCTCTTGGCTCGGTGTTGCAGACATGCACTTGCGGCAGAAAGAGGACTTGTCGCGTATAACCCCTTTGAGTCATGAGAGATGCACGTTAGAGAGCAGAGTCTCGACCGTAGCTGTCTGGTTTCCGGAAGGA